GTCGTCCTTCCCTGACCCAGGCAGGGAGGAAAGAGAGCTTGCTAGCTTTAGTCATACTACTGCCTTCCTCCAGAGGTGAGACTGAGAAGGAAAGCACCTTAGGTGGGCTGCTGTGTTTTCATACTCATAAAACTGGTCTTTATAATAGGGTTAAAATCCTAGACCTCTCCAATTTTCGCCATGTGGATACAAGCATTAAAAATGCTTCTCAGGTCACAGTGCTGGTTTCTCCTAGTAGTACCTGCTTCTGTCTGGAAATGTAATGTCAGCCCCAGAAAAACTGTATTTTAAATGATTTCTTCCTGCTTAAGAATGAATCACTAAAGCTTCAGTTGGAACAGAAACAGTTTTCATCTCTGAAACATTCTGCTTTCACTCACCTTTTTGTCCAGTCCTATGGAGAGCAAGTGGGGAAAAAGGTATCGACAATTCCACCCCATTGTTAAGCTCTAAAGCATACCTGTTTTCCCCTCCATCCTACTAAAAGCTGCCTGGGGAGAATAAGGGAGGGTAAAGAGCGCTTCAGCAGGCCGAGTTGAAGAAAGAGAGCTCTCAATGAAAACCACTTTTAAAAGTCTTCACTGGGGTGGCTGAAATTGTTCTCCATGCTCCAAGTGAGAGGGAAACTAGAGGAACAGTTATTAAGAACTACTTGGTAGGGGAGGATTCTAGGAAGACGGCAGTGTGGCAAGCGTAGTTTTCCAGTCTCTCCAAATCACCACATAAAAATAGAACACCAAGATAGCAAAACCAAAAACCAGCGGACAACATTTATAACAAAACTAGATGACAAGGTATCCCACAAATCCCAAAATATAAGTGGGTAGCCCGTTTGTGCAGGAGGAAGGAGAAGAAGCAATGGGGCTTCCGAATTATGGACTCAAGAAAAGAAAAACCACAATAGAGTCAAAAAGTATCACTGGAAAATATGGAGGACCAATTTGAGAACAGCAGCTGAAACTGGGAGATTTTGCCCTTGCCAATGGCAAGTGAGTGGAAGGGGCCTGCAGCAAGAGGGGCTGAATGAGGCCCCTATGAAATCAGGGCTCCCTTCTAGGATGGGGCCCATACTGAGGAGCAGCTGCAATCAAAATTGAGCGAATTAAAACCATAATGAGATATCACCTCACACCTGTCAGAATGGCTATCATCAATAAACCAAAAAACAACAAGTGTTGGTGAGGATGCAGAGAAAAGGGAACCCTCATACACTGTTGCTGGGATTGCAAATTGGTACAGCTGCTATGAAAAACTGTATGGAGGTTTCTCAAAAAGTTAAAAATGGATCTACCTTTTGACCCAGCAATTGCACTTCTGGGTATTTATCCAAAAAAAACTGAGATGATAATTTGTAAAGATTTATGCACTCCAATATTCATGGCAGCACAATTTACAATAGCCAAGATATGGAAGCAACCTAAATGCCCATCAACAGAAGACTGGAAAAGAAATTATGGTTCATTTATACAATGGAATATTACTTAGCCATTAAAAAAAAATGAAATCCTACCGTTAGCAACGACATGGATAGACCTAGAGGTTATTATGCTGAGTGAAATAAGTCAGACAGAGAAAGATAAATACTATATGATTTCACTTATATGCAGAATCTAAAGAAAAAAAAAAGAACAAACTAATCAAAAACAGACTCACAAATATAGTGGACAATTTGGTGACAGACAGGGAAGGGGGGTTGGGAGGCTGGGAGAATGGGGTGACGGGTTAAAGAAATATAAATTAGTAGTTGATAGTTGGTAACAGGGATGGGGAGCACAGCAGAGGGAATGCAGTTAGCATTAATACGTTGGCTAGGTGGAGGGCCAGGGGAGAGAGGGAGCAATTGGGGGAATAGTTTTATGAACTATATAGATGTTTAACCAAGGTACTGTATACTTGAAACTAATTTAAATAAATAATTTTTTAAAAAAATTGAGCAGAATAGGGACAATAGAGACAAAGGGAAGAAAAAATTCAGGCCAAAGTAGAGAAAAGAAACCCAGCCAAGAAAGCTAAGAAAGAAAGCTGCCATATAGTTGAACACTACACAAATATAACCAAAGCGAGGCTCTATTAGGTAAGAAATACTTAAACTCATTCTAAAGTTCAGAAAAACTAATTTTACTAAAAATAACCTATAGAAAAGTATCAAGATAGATATACAAAGTTATTATTTAAAAAAGAAAATAAGGAATTGAATAGCATCCTACAGACAAAGAAAGCATGCCAGAAAAACACATCCACTATATAGAACAAAACTGTAATCTAATACTTCAAAATGAGGTAAAGACATTAAGAAAATGATGGAAGACTTGAAAAAACTCAAAATTAGAAAAACTCAGAAATAGGGTGACAGAACTCATACCAATGGGACACAAAAGAAAAAATTTCAGAAATGAAGAGTAAACTAGAAGGAACATAAGAGCAAATACATATGACAGATAATGTCCTAAGAGAAACAATAGATGCAAAAGAGAAACATCTTTAAAACGAGAGAGAGAGAGAGAGAGAGAGAGAGAGAGAGAGAGAGAGAGAGAAGGAAGGAAGAATTCAAGAGAAAATGAAGAATATTAAAGATATGCAAAGGAGCTCACATGTTTCCGTAAGAGTCCCCATACAAGAAAAGCCAAAGTGAGGAAAAAGAACAAACACAAAAACTATAACTCAAGAAAAAATTTTCTAAAATACAAAAATAAATATATTTGAAACTACATACTGAGAAAAATGCACTATGTACCTAAGAATATCAACCCAGAATGATCAATATGAGACCATATTCAGAAGTGAAGGGATAGAGAGAAAAAATTGCTTGGATGCCTAGAAAAAGAACATGTGAATTATATGGGAAGGAAAATTAGACTGCTATTAGTTTTTTCTCACACAATGCTTTATCACAGAAAGAAATGGAGTAACATATTTAAGATACTCACAGAAAGAAAGTATGAGTCAAGGATATAATAGCCAGCAAGACTCCTTTCACGTATAAAGGGCACAAACTCATCAACATTCAAGGACTCAGGGAACGTTTTTCCCAAGCACCTTTCCTGAGGAGTGAGCTTTAGATAGCCAAGGTGACCAGGGAAACATTGACATAATGTTGATGGCGGGCATTAAATATACACTTTACTTGTGGAACAAAGGGCTAAAAAACAATGTAAACAAAGTACAACTGTTACACAATAGGAAAAGAGCAGATGCAAAATATACGCACGTTTGTGCATATGTATGTGTCTACATACATGTACTTTTCCTAGCTCTGTCCACTGAAAAGGCCTAGCATCAAAAACTAATCCAGTAGCAATAAGCCATCCTAGCACCAGATAGGATTTTAAACTATAATTTCTCACTAAAAGATCCTGGGGCTTAGTAGAGAAATGGTAGATTCCAGGTATAGCCCAGGAAGTATATAAGATCAGCCTAGAACATCTTGTCATATCAGAAAGCAAGAACATCGTTGAAAACTGCTCAGGTCAATTCAAAAGAACTTAGAAGCCGCCTTGCAAAGACTTCCACTGGCCAAAGATGTGATCATTTGAGTTTCAGTAATGATAATAAATGCAATGTATTTAAATGTTTGAAACCTATAAATATGTTTAAAGCCATGAGTTCTAAAAAAAGAATTGGTTATCTTTGAAGTATGACGGAGGACTAATTCATGAGAATTTAGTAAATAAAGGGAAAGAACCAAACATTTATTATGCATCTCTTTATAAATTTATTCAAATAAATGGAAAGAAAATAATGGAATTAGAATAGCATCATTTTGCAAACCCTAATGAATTAATAGATGTAGACATTAAGAAAGCTGTTTCTATGAAAAAAAAAAAGAGAGAGAGTGAGAAAGACAACCAGATATCATGAGCTTCCTATGATCTTGCCAAACACCATCTAGAATCTTGCCAAAGGGAGTAAACATGAGTCTGATTCAGTGTCTATATCCAGTTGCCAAATTTCAGAAAATATAAGGACAGGGGAATGTGTTCTATTGCACGAAGAGACTACAATCAGCAAAATCCAGATTTTGAGAAATACTAAATGTTAAATAGCTTGGATTCTTCCACATAAATTTACGGGAAAAGAAAAGGATTGAGAGGGAATCTGTAAGTTAAAAGAAACTTAAAGACACATCAAATTTTAAAAATGAGCAAGCTAAACTAGAGTGCTCAGGATGTAAACATACAGGATAACACGATAAAAATGCAGCAAAGTGATTATGATCAAGTCAGGAATGGTTACTTTCATGGGGAAGGTGGGGCTTCTGGATGGTTATATTAGTCAGGGTCCTCCAGAGAAAGAGAACTAATAGGATATGCATGAATTATATAAGACATTTATCATAGGAATTGGCTCACGTGATTGTGGAGGCTGAGAAGTCCCACGGTCAGCCATCTGTACGCTGGACAACCAGCAAAGTGGGTGGTGTAATTCAGTCCGAGTCCAAAGGCCTGGGAATTGGGGCGCCAATGGTATAAGTCCTGGTCCGAGTCCAAAAGCCTGAGAAACAGGAGCACTAATGTCAGAGGGCAGAAGAAGATGAATGTCTCAGCTCAAGCAGAGAGCAAATCTGCCCCTCCTCCATCTTTTTGTTCTATTTGGTCCCTGAATGGATTGGATAATGCCCATCCCCGTTGGTGAAAGTGATCTTTACTCAGTCTACTGACTCAAATGCTAATCTCTCCCAGAAACATCCTCACAGACACACCCAGAATTAATATTTTACCAGCTATCTAGGTATCCCTTAGCCCAGTCAAGGTGCCACATAAAATTAACCACCACAGTGAGTAAGAAAGTTCTATTTCCTGACTTGGCAGTGATCTCAAGAATGTTCACGTCGGAATAATTCATTAAGCCATACAATTGTTTTGTATTGTTTCTGTATTTGTGCTTTGTTTTATAATAATATTATTATGTTACTATAATAATAGCCCACCTGAAAGGGCTCCCCCACCCTCTGTGGATGGATAGACCGGTGTTAGGTCAGGAGACGGGAGCAATCCCCAACAGTGTTGTCTAACTGGGAAGCAAGACTGTCCTTCCCAGGATGCTGATAAACCACCAGCACATTCTTTGATTTTCCTTACCTTGTGAGAAAGATCAATGGACTCTCCTGAGAAAACTATTAATTAATATACTGTATAATTATTGTTTTTTATGTCAGGAGATATGTAAAAAGGGTTTTAACTCAGATAGGTCAGGAAAGCTCAAACTAATTTTGCAGATACCTTTTGAAAGCAGTTATAAGTAGATGGGGATTGGAAAGGTGGGGGCGGTATGACCTTCTGGAAAAAGCAGCAGACCTTGGTCTTTACTGTCAAATCCTGTTTCACCCAGAGCTGTGGTCAATTCAACTGAGTGTACTGTGCTACAGTCATCTAATTCTTGATGATTTAATGGCTTTTAAAAATCTATAAAACAGAAACATTTACCCAATTAAAAAGAAAGTTTCCCATTACGAAAAGCTTATTAGCCACTAGAATAGATTACTAAAGGAAGTTCTGCTGTCTCCTTACCATCTATTCAGAAATCTATCTATTCAGAATCCCCTAGGTGCAGATACACGTATAAACAGGTTCAACAGATGTCTGTGGGTATCTCCCAGGGACATTATGATTCCATGGTTCCATCACTGCCCAGGTGGGAAGGCAGAAGAGCATGGTGGGTGAAACACACACACATGCCAGAAAGATTAGAGTTTAAGTCCTGGCCTTTGTCGTTTACAAACTCTGTGACATTGAGCAAATTAATTAACCTCTCCAAATGTTTATTTCCTCATACGTAGACTGAGAATAGTAATCACAACTCTTTCATTAGGTTGTTGTGACGACTGAATGTAATGATGGATGTAAAGGGCAAAATACCTGACATCCACAAAAGCTCACTAGGTGTGAGCTATTATCATTATTATTAACATAATCATCATCACCAGGAGGGTTATGAAGAAACAAAATACATTAAGATCAGTGGTTCTCCAAGTGTAGTTGCCAAACCAGCAGCATCTGTGTCACCTGGGATTTCTTAGAAGTGCAGCACCCTCCCACCCCAGTCTCCAACCCCAGACTTACTGTGTTGGAATCTCTGGTGCAGGGCCCAGAGATTTTAACAAGCCTTACACTAATTCCAGGCACACCAGAGTTTGAAAACCACTGATCTAATACCATTATCTGTTGAAGCCTCTTACAAACTTTCATAACCAGAGAGCTTGAATTTTTTAGGAAGACTGCTAAAATTCTGCTTTTTTATCAACTGAGAACAATAAACTTGGAATCTAGCCTTGATTCTATCAGCCAGTGATGCTGAAGAGAGAGAATCCCACTGTCTGCTGCCCCACTAGAGCCTTTTCAGTACATTGAAGGAAAGATCGTGGTTTATCATCTATGTGTTCCCTAGCATCTCACACCCTGCCTGACAGATTGTAGACACTTGATAAAAATTCATTGTCTGAATAATGAATGAAGAGTTAGAGGAATGGCTAGAGATGATTATATCATTCAACTAGGAGATAAATTCACATCTAAGGTAATCTAACTTAGGATTTTGTTTAAAAAATGCTTGCTTGCTAAAACTCAGGGACATTTATTTGCTTGGCTTAGTCAGCAACTTAAACATATTTCATTAAAGTCTATGACTTCCAACTGAAATTGTGGAAAAGGATTAATAGTGATTTTAAAACCTCAAATTCCCAATGAAAGTAAATTTGGGACAGTAATCAATCCTTGGGTTAAAGAGGTAACCAAAAGAAAACAAACAGACAGAAAATTTTTTAGTCGTTTCAAATCTAATTCTGAGGCTAGATCCTGGAAAGAAAGAGAGGGAAATTATTTTTCTGTGGTAGATGCATAAATGATTGTTTATATCCTGAAGGATGACAAAATCCAGATTAATTAAAGGAAGATAAATAAACTGAATATAACTTATTAAGGAAGGAAATTATAAAAGTCTTGTTTTAGGAATATTTCAATAATTCTATATTTTAAATAATCTGTATCTCTCATTAAACACAACCAGGTTAAAGCTTAATTAATATATTCTAAAGTAAGCAGCAGTCATATTATCAAGTTGAAGTACCACGTATTCATATAGAAAAATATATCTTCCCTTAAGGATTAGTACATAAAACTAGCAACTACAATTCCAAGAGGCATAGAAAAATTAAATGCAGTTTGGCACCCACCCACACCTACAGACTGTATAGAAAAATATTAAAGTAATAAAAAATTGTCAGAAGCAGTAATGCCAGGATCATCAATATTTATTTTGTTTCTTGTATTCGACCATCTATTAGTATGAATAGTGCTCAGTAAACATGAACGATTTTATCAGTATTCTCAGCAAAATATATCTGGTTTCATCAATGTAAAATCTATTGCCACCAACCTTGCAAGTTTGGTCTCCTGGCCCAGGGCCAACCACCACTCTTGGAGATAGGGCGCAGAGAATGAATGAAAAGCATATATTATCTGGAGCAGCTCTGTACCTTAGAGAAAAAGAAAAAGAAAACTGGGTGACTAAGAGCGATTCCTTGGTGGCACTTGAGAAATAATGTAGAGTTAACTAATGAATTAATAGGAAAACTGGACCTATCATTTTTTAACTTTTGGTTTAGGAATAATGGGAGACCCTCAGGCACTGAAGGGACACCATCCATTAACTTGTAAGTAGGCTGAAGAGGATAAGGGATTCCCAAAGAGCTTAACTTACTCTCAAGGAGAGCTTACTAACTCATTCATTCATTCATTCATTCATTCATTTCTCGGTAATTCTCAGTTTTAGATGCACTTTAAAATTTAAAAATTAGGACAATTTACTTGTGCATTTTTCTACCAACTCTTTTTTGGTGATTGCAAACTCTTCAAAGATTTCATTCTTGTAGAACATTTAGAGGACCTCTCTTATACCTTCAATCTCTCTGAAATTGGTGAAAATACTTCTAAAGTGTTCCTTTTAAAATTTCAGTGTCCTCCCCCTTAATTATTTCCTCTGAAACTGTCATTTATACCTCATAGCAGTGGTGTTCATGACTGTGCAATAATGGGGGCGGGGGGAGGAGGAAATCACAAAACCCTTTATTTTAAAAAGTCATGTGCCACCTGAATCTTTGCACAGTAAAGGAGAAAATAAATTTCCAATACTGAAATTAGGGAATCTAGGAGCTGAAGGATGCAAAAGGTACCTAAGAAAGAACAAAATGCATCAACCTCCACCAGGATACAATGACACCCAAAGCTTTACCTGCAGTCTAGCCTCCTTTCTGAGCTGCAGGCTGGAAACCGAGCTGCCTTCCTGACACTGTCACTCTGATGGTACAGAGATCTGCAAGGCCTGTTTCAAAGGCTCAGCGTAGAGGCCGTGTGCCTGTACATGCGCACACACACGCATTCTGCATTTGCCATCATGAATTCATGATATAGTCTTTTAAGAGCGGGCCTTTGTTGTCGTATACCTGAAACTAATATAATATTGTATGTCAACTATAATTGAAAAAAATAAAAATATAAAAAAGAAAAGGAAAGTAAAAAGAGTGGGCCTTTGTGTGGGAAATGAGTCTGGTTCTCAGTCTAGAGACAGACTAGGGAGATGTCTCAGCATGCATTTACTCCCGTGTCTGTTTCTGATGCCAATCCATGTTGCAAATGGCTGCTGATAATTCCAGACCCTCCCAGACGCCTGCAGCATAATGAGGAGCTGTCCTCACTACCCTCTACCCTTGCTGGCTAGCATTTGAAGGAGCAATCACATTATATGCTTAGATTAACTGATGAATAAACAGACAGATCTTTTTGAGGAAACTTATTTAATAGTTCTGTAGAAATTATGCACTTAACCAAACAGTAAAACTGGTGGTTGGTAACTTTAGAGGTGTATTCCATACACTATTAGCTCACCAATGTCTGAATCCCTTCGTTTGGGATGAACTTCAGACCATCAACAATTAGACAAAGATGGCAAGAGAGTACAGCACAGAGACAAATAGATTGCTGACACTGCCATAAGCTGGGCCCTATCGCCAATGTGTGTAAGGATTCCTGTTACAACAAGGGCCTTTTCAGTTACACATGATAAATCCCCTCTCGTTCAAATAACAGATTGGGTGATCAGCACTGTTCTTTTTGTCTTAGCAACTTATAAGATGAAAAATGAAATCACAGGGCCTAGAGGGTAGGGAGTAAGTCAAGCTGTATGGTTGAGGCCTAATAAACGCCCTTAAGAGGTCACAATGTTCCACAGGCACCCAAGACTTAACAGGGCCAAAAACACTGATCACCTCCCTTCTAAGACAATCTGTTCCTCTTCCTATTGCCACCTCTCCGTGACTGGTACCATCTGCCCAACCACATCCAGACATCTTGTCCTGCCATTTCTAAATCCTGCTTAGGTTTACCACCCCAAGTTGTTGGGTCAGATGTAGGAGTTGAAAGTGGACATTTAGCAAGGGGGCAAGCTGAAAGATGGAATGGACTACCATTCAGAGGGCAGGTGCAGTCAGGAGGCAGGTGGTAATGACCTCTGTCCTTCAAAGAGTAGGCTAATCATTTCTGTCCTAGAGTATGTGTGTCTAGAGGAAATCCAAACTGAATCTCCTACTCTACAGAGACCAAACCTTTTGAAATACTTTTTGTACAGCTTCTTGGTACGCCAGTACATCAGTGTGTGTATGGAAGTCTTCTTGGAGATCTGTAATTGCTGCAAGCATCAGCTGGCTGCTGAGAGACTAGTAGTAAGAACTACAGGGTGCCATGTCAGATGTGGAGCCATCAGCGCCCCGAGGAACTCTGCAGTTTCTGAACAGCCATGTTATCTGGCTGAGCTACAGGTATAGAAACAGAATGTAAGGCTCTCAAGCCACTGCCACCCCTTCCTCCCTGTGTAGAGCAGCCACCAGAAGATGTGACCTTGAGGGGTGTAAAAGTCAAACCCAGCATGCTAAGTCCAAACTGAGCCACTGATTAAAGAGACAAAGTGAAAAATGGAAGGTAGAGAATGAGAAAACAGGGCAAGTAATCAAGGCACCAGGAAAGTCGAGACTGAGAAGAGGCAGAGTTGCTCTGAATGAATTCTGAAGACAAAGTGTAAATGCCTGTTGGGCTCTTTATCCACTCCCAGTAGTCTCTTATGGTACATGTCATTCAAATGGTTCAAACAGGGAGGAAAGCAGCAAGTTGAGGTGACTCTTGGTCAAAACTCACGATTTTCACTAGGTACTAATAGTTAAGCTCATCTGCAGAGAGAGAGAGAGAGACTGAAATCGGTAAGGAGCTTCACAGAAGCATTGAGGTCTCAAACAGCCTCTGTGGGAATGGAGAGAGAGTTGACTAGGGACACACAAGCAGTGCCCAGCAGCCCTGAGGGCCCCGTTGAGGCCGGAGACTGCACATTTGGTCTCCACTTGGGGGCGTGGTTTTCTTCATTGTTGCTGAGCGGTTTCAGGAGAGGAAGCAGATTGTAGGCGTGACACAAATTTAGGCATTAACAAACTGCTCTAGTGGTTGCACAACAGGGTAAGGGAGTGAGGGAGAAACAAATGAAGCCATTCACTGTGTACATCTAAGTTAGCTAAGAAAAAAAGGTGTGACAGTTAATTTTATGTTTCAGCTGGGCTGGGCTGTGGTGCTCAGGTATTTGGTCAAACATTATTCTGGATGTTTCTGTGAGGCTGTTTTGGATGAGATTAACATTTAAATCAATGGACTTCAGTAAAGCAGATTGCCCTCCATAATGAAAGTGGGTCACATCCAATCAGTTGAAGGCCTGAATAGAACAAAAGACTGACCTTCCCTGAGTAAGAGGAAATTCTGCCAATGGACAGCCTTTCAATGTGAACCACAACATCAGATCTTCCATGGGTCTTCAGCCTGCGGGCACATCTGCAGGCTTTAGACTTGTCGGCTTCTATAATTGTGAGAGCCAATTCCTTAAAATCTCAATCTCTCTCTCTCTCTCTCCCTCTCCACACATACATACACACACGCACATATACACAAACACAATAGGACATCTATGTACATATATAGATATAGACATTTTATAATTAGTTATACCTTACTGGTTCTATTTCTCTGAAGAACCCTACTACAGAAGGTAAGTCTGGAGAGAGAAGGACCAGGTAAAGCGACATCAAGAAGTCTTGACAGAAGTTCAGTGAGGCTAATAGAATGCAGAAACAGGAAGGATGGTAAACCACTACATTCAGAGTTAGGAGGGTTTCAGATTTCAAATGCGGAGTATATATGAATGAGAACAAAGTCAGAGGAGTGGAGGTAGAGAATGTAGGAACTAAAAAAGCCTTTGAGGTTCAGGTGCTAGCCGGTCCATCCACACGCACATTGGAACAGTGCACTCAGCTTGAGCGTGGGCTTGGAACAGAGAGAGAAAACTGTGATCCAGGATGTCAGTAGAGAGGGAGGGCTGCCCGCTAACGTTATTCAATGGCTCCTTATCATCATCAGGGAAAGTCCAGCTCCTTCACATGGCGGGAAGCCCTTCCCAGTTCATCTCTGTTCAGCCCCAGCCCAGCCTCAGCCACACTGACTTTTTTGCCTGTGGTCTGGAAGCTGACTAAACTCTTGGCCTTCAAGCCTTTGCGCACTCATTTTTCTGTCCCTTCTTGAAAGAGCAATCCACTTCTTGCTCTACCACTCTCTTGCAGCCTCAAACGAAGCCAAAAAGCATTCTCATCTTGACAAGCACTCCTAAAAAACCAAAGACCGTCTCGGCAAGTCTCTTAAATAGTCAGGACAATTTCTTCCATGCTCGGTGATTAGCTATACATTGAATGAAGCAAACTGCACTTTTCTGTGGAACTGCAGGTTCTACAGATCCTTTAAAAAATTTCAGGCTGCTCAATCTAAATCATAGCCCAGGAGCTTTCTAGGTTTAATTCAGGTAGCATCAGAGAACTGTTTTAATTATTTGCAAAGATGAAAATGAGCCTATGACAGGTGGCAACAGGTGGACCTCGCAGCTCTTTTTCTTTGCATACCCTCGTCCTTTGCATCTGTCAGATTGCCAGTTTTAATATTTAGTGCAGATATATGCTTTTTGCATTGATCTCTTTTCCTATTTTTGATTTTTCCCCTACAGCCTCTCTTAAATTTACTGCTTTATTTAAAAAATGATAAATAAAATATGAGCCTAGTTTTAACTTTTAAAGCATGAGGTAGTTCAATAATTAGAAGAGTGGATGGATGTTAATCAGTTATACTTGATTCTAACTGATACCTGGATCAGAGGCTCTGGCAGTAAACTTTAAGGAGCCAGGAGCTCTGATCTCTTTCCTCGGCCTGAGAAAAATTCACCCGTTTGCCTCACTTTCTTCCCTCCATAAAGATTGTATGGGGGTGGGGAGGAACATTAGGGTACAAGAGTGACTCCATTCCAAGTGGTCACCCTTGCATGTTTGCTCATCTTCCCAAACCATTGTCTCCAAGTTCTCCCTAGTAATGCAGACAACAGCATCATTATGCAGCCACACCGAGGGGCCAGTCTTCTACAGGTAACCCTTCTTTTCACAATTAAGCGAGCTGCAGCTCTTAATGGCAGAAATAAAGAATCCTTCCCCCTCCTACTTTCTAAATACTCACGTTCCTTAATAAACTTGACCTCCTTCACTGTGAAATTGGAAACAGCCTTTTCCTGATGACCAGATGGCCCAGCAAATTTAATCACTTCAAGCATTCCATGTTTCCTCTCCACTACCTTCCATGGTGAGGAAATCAAGAGGCAAACTCCTTATTCCTCCCAGATGCCAACCACTCTTGAGTGTTACCCCCAATCATTATTTAAAAAAAAAAAAAACAGAACAATAAAGTTCAAAGAAAATATTTCTTTAAAGCTATAAAATAAAACAAACTTTCAGAGGAGGGTAATAGTAAATAAATAAAAAAATGAATCAAAATTATTTCTGATTAATATTTAATTCAATAAGAATGCCACTTAACATTTATTCTAATTTATCTGGTACAGTTGTTTGATTTAAATTTCTCTTCAAATTCATGTCTAGTACTCCAGAGAGTAAAGCGAAAAAAATTCTGATGAATAATGTAGGGCACTCTGAATAGAATTTTACCCACAGCAGTTGATATCCACTTAATACAGTGGGCTGGCTATTCCAGCTCATAAAAGCTTAACATGATTACTGAGTTTCTTTGGGTAAACAGTTGGCCTTCCATACCTGCAGATTTTGCATTCAAGCATTCGACTGACTACAGATGGAAAATACCACTTTTGATCCATGGTTGGGAATCCATGGATGTGGAAGGCCAACTTTCTGCATCATTCTACATCATTTTATATAAAGAACTTGAGCATCCACGGATTTTGGTATCCACAGGGGGCCCTGGAACCAATCCCCCACGGACACCTAGCAATGACTATATGTTCCTTTAACAGTCTTACCTAGGCAAATTTATTGAATCTTCTAAACCTGTTTCTTCCACCTGAAAAAAAAAAATGGGTACCTTAGGCTTTCCAAAAAATATAGGGAAATTCATGTTGGTAAGGTACTTTCCAGAACAGATAAACTGACTACACAAAAGGTAATTATTCCCATAGTTCAGTCTCTCACATCAACCCTTTCCCTTTCTTCAAACCAATTTTGGAGAAGGTGACGCATGCTCTTATTTATATGGAAATTGATAACTCCTTTATTTATTGATTAAAATAACATGTTAAGGTTGCTATGAATTGTCAAGACAATTAGTTTGCAACAAGGATTTGTATTAACAGAGCTGGGAAGTGAAATCAAGACTAAAGTGGCAGCACCTATTCTGCATTTGGAAAATATGCTCTTAGAAAATATGCAAACAAGTCACAGACATACTTGTTTCTAAAAGCTTGGGACACTAAAGCATTCTAAGAAGTATGACAATAAAGCTATCATTCAGAAATAAAAATGGATTGTACAGGTTCCAGCCCAAACACTTAGATGGCATATTTTCCTATCCTTACAATACTTCGTTTCATAAAAAAGCAACTTGACTAAATAGCTTCTGTGTCCTAGTCTTTACTAACAGGAAGTAGTTATTATGAATCTTTATTTTTTATATTTGTTGTAAAATGTAATTAATCAGAAGCCTCAGATAGATCCAAAAAGCTTGTTTATATAAAAATTCTTCCCTAGAAAGGATAAGAAGCCTCCCTGATTCAATAGAAAACAATTACTTGCTAATTCAAGATAGTAAAAACTTTCTCTCCACCATAAAAAAAACATAAATAAAAAGTTTTGATGTTTTTGTTTATTGGTGATTTTATGTACACTATTTATAAAAATTGGTGAGAAAGAATAAATAATGTCAACTGTTTCAAGCAACAGTCTGAATGCTAATTAAAAAGTAAGGAGATAGTTTCGGAGCAATGTTTTTTTTTTCCCTCCACAAAACGATCAATTTGAACTAGAGGGCCACAGAATATCTATATTAAAACTTTATAGTCAGTAAAAGAAACATTTCCTTGGTGCAAAGGAACAAACATCACCCAACATTCCCTCTAAATTCTTTGGCAAAGAAAATAGGGTGTAATAGGGAAAAAGAAGAATTCCTAAAATAAACTTTATGCAATCACAGGAAGCATTTAGATCCCTTTTTTCCTCCGCTTGCAGGAAAATGAAACAATCTCTGGGACACAGGAAATAACACAAGTGTTAGAAAATCCCTGTGGTATGAGATAAAAAAAAACGTCAAGTGGATCTCTTCTGAGTCCCATAAATGACGTAAAGGACAACAGATGGTCAAAGACTCAGGCACCTCAACAAGAAGTAATTGATTTATACTGGTGAGAGTGACGACTCCATTTGAGGTTCAGGAAAATAGGACAGCAGAGAGTCACATACACAACATTACAATTGATACATCTGCACACAACTAGCTCCTGGCCTCATTTTGGCAAAAAGAGCAACTGCAAGAAGAATGCTGATGGCAAGAAGTGTGGAAGGAAGAAAGCATTGAGGGAGAGAAGAAGAAAAAGTGGATAGGACTATTTTATTTTAGATTGCCAGCAGATTCTACTACAAATTAGTAAAAATATGGGCATGTCAATAACTGGGACAATTTAAGAAAAATCAACAATTCATAACTGTGGATATAATATTATATACATAAGCAAAAATTCATATCATAATATCTTTGGGTAAAAGAAAAGTTTATAACGTTTCATTCAATTTAATTATAAGTGTCAGAATAATAAATCCTGGGTATTGAAAAAACAATGGCATTGATGATAGAGGCTCTGTTTATCACTCTGGCGACCAAATAAAGTTGTGATGGAAACAAGGAGCAGCAGCAAGGAAAAATTGTCTGGGATGAATAAGCCATACAACTAGGGAGAAATCCAAGAAGGAGCCCTGCAATGGCAGAAGGTAGGACGGGCCGAGGACACAGGGCTGCCCAGTCCCAAGAGGCTGAGACGGAGGGGAGACTGTCCCAAAAGGCTGAGTGAGAAGGAGGGTACGGCAGAGGCAGACGCCCATTAAAGGGGCCGCATCCACAACTGATTTTTGCGGTGATGGACTTGCTCGCTCTGAGCACCAGTGCCGATTTGCCTATGTGCAGGGGACACCAGGGACTTACAAGGAGACACTATCAGAGTGAGGGCCAAGGAGAGACTTGCTCAGTACAGAAGTGCCAACAGTATCCATTGTTCCCTGTTGAGCCCTCCCGCCTAACAGTGCATGGA